TCACTTAGTAAGTGCATATGTGACATATGTATGGTGCTATTTTTAGCTTCTGTGTGCTTCTAAATAGAGCAAATACAGTTCTGTAAAATCATTAATTTTCACTAATATTTTAATTTTGATGTTCTGGGCATTTTCATGTATTATCTATCAAAACATTCAGTTCTATTGTGCATTAGATCATAGGTAACCTACAATCCTGAAAAATCATATCGTATCATATTGTCTTTGCCAAGTGGAAAAAGTCCCTTTGCTTCATAATTTAAAAACCACTTGCTTTTACATTATTGTCAATGTTTAGCCTTGCGGAAGATGATGTTGGGTAATGAAGTATTGATATTAGGCATCATTATCATAATTCTCTCTCATGGGAAAAGGTTTTTGAATTTAGACACGCATGAAGGAAAATAATTGAGCTAATAAAAGCTTGTGTTTTCGACATTGTCTCCTACGGTACTACTTCACTTATCAGTAACTAAATGGAAGAAAAAGCACTTTCCAACTTTGAGGGCACTATTGCATCAAATAATCAAATATTCAGGGTTGACAATTTTAAACTGGGGGTGGTGGCAATGAAAACATGAAAGAAAAGAAAGCCTCAGGGAAATAAAGGGGAACAAATGTATGTATATTAAAAAAAGAAAAACCACATGGATTTGAATAAAGGCAAACAAAACAAATCTAGTCCAACACTAGTGCGAAGGACAAAATAATTTGTGCATTTTTTTGCTATCTCCTCCCAGAGTTTCTAATGATCAACTTTTTAATAGTGAAATATCAAGCAAGTTAGTCTGAATTATGGAGAGTTTAATCTAGGACAGGACATTTCAAGTGTTCTCAGTTAATGATATCGATTTTTACTCTTGATTTATTCCCTGTAGAGGCATGTAGAACACCGTCACTGCACACATATATTATTTGCATCACAAGTACATTCAAATGTGTTCTAATGTAATAGTATGTTAGTATTGTGCTGTATGCTTGTTATTGACGCTACTGGGAATGTTATTCCTATTTTCGCTTGAGTCGATCTTTGGTCACAAATTGCACCAGCAGCTCAAAAATTTTTTTTTTTTTTATTACTCCAGGATTGAGCACATGGTTTTAGCTTCCTAATAATCAATATCACACATCAGCTCACCTTTTTCTTCTCAAATGTTAACTAAACGCTACCGGTCAAGCTGAGAGGAACAAATTATCACTGAGGCAGTGATTCACAAAGTAACCAGCCATGTAGTTATACGGTGTATTGCAATTGTTGTTAAAGTACATTTACATAATACACTCTTTGTAGGGTTTAATGCAGGAGTGTGTAGATTTAGTTGTGATCTGTTATGTGTCTTTCATTGTATAAATGAATTGTTTAGCATAATAGATTATTACTGAGTGTATTATGCCTGTACATACATGAAATAAACCAATTAGTGTTTCTGAGCAGCGCCCTCCTTGTAGAATAAAAATTGGTTTTGGTGGTGGTTCTGATCTGCCTTTGAGCATAAGCAAGAATAATAAAGATTTTGGGGTATTTTGTGAGCCTATTCTGTTTTTAAACCTCCTACATTACAAGATAAAGTTATCCACTTAGAAACTGAACTATGGAAATTGAGGTATCATTGTATTCTATTTCAGGTGCTGACATGGGTCCTGACTTTCATGATGACTTTGGTAGCTTCTTTCACTTTGACTTCAAGACACCAGATGAGGTATTCCGAGACTTCTTTGGGGGAAGGGATCCATTTGCTGAGTTCTTTGAAGGTGGGTAATGTTTAAAATTTACCTTAAAACTTTGTATTAATCTGCAGTGTTGTTGTGGTTAACTTGGACACCAAGACGGATATCCCAAAAGATGAATATATCCGTCACCTGGTATTTTGAGGTCACAAACTGGTGTGGAGAAATCTATCATTCACATTTTTCTACGGTTTTACCCTTTTTGCAATCTGTGGGAGCTGTGGAATTTATGGGGGGTGGGTCAGTTGAGGATGAAGTGCAAAAAAATCTATTCCTTAGGAAAATGTGAATTGAAAATTTGAAATCATACGAATGTGAATATTGTTTTAAAAACAGTGAGACAAATCTTGAAGCCAAGACCACTGTAATATTGTCCAGAATTGGGCTGTCTTGTGTGATTGTTAGTATGATGGGAAAGAGTTATATACGTTGTACCTAACTTCTGGCTTGTGGATGGATGGCAACACATGCCTACAGATCAATATCCCCTAAGCTAGTTGATTTCACAACACTTGTGTGATCAATCCATCTTTAAGCTGTGTACATGTATTTGTGCTTTTGAATGTAGAAGTGGATCTCCAATGTAAAAATACTTGATCCAAAAGCATGCCTTCATTGTATACTATAATAATAATTTTATTTAATAATTGTATAATGGCCTCCGGCCCATTACAATCATGCAAATTAATTATTGACAAGAAATAAATTTACATTACAAAATATGTATGAAAATATAGATGAAGAGTGTGTCAATAGATAATATAAGCCCTATATAATAATGTGATGGGGATATTAATATATACATACAAGCTTATTAGGTTATTCTCATTTGATCTTTGATTAAAAAACACTTATATATAAATAGAGCCAAAGAGTTAATGATTGATGATGATGATGATGATCAAGTTCATACTTCACACACACATGGTACATCATGTCACAAATAGATATGTGCATTTGTTTCATGATCCGCTTAACAATAGCTGAATGATGGCCATTTTAAGGCCGAAAATGCATTAAAATCACGTATTTTCACAATTCCGGAACCAGATCTCAGTCATGCATGGATGGATTTTGTTCAGATTTAGTACAATGTGTTGTACATATGCAGGTGCATTTCGGTCATGATCTGCTTTGAATGTATATGTCACTCAAATATGAACGGAACGGGGACGTGTCATTGACAATGACTTGTTGTAAAAATATGATGTACATTTCTGTTAATCGCTTAATTTTCACTGCTAAGAATTTTTGCTCCTTTACGGCATATGAGAAGACAAAATTTCACACCCCTAGAAATATTTTTACTTTAAAAGTTTCATGATGTTTTTTGCAAGTTCATGAAAATTTGGGTCTTATGATATTAAATTTGTTCACAGTACCAGTATTCATTCTGTGGGTGCTCTTTGTTTCTTTTACGTGTTTGTGTGACTACAGTATGAATAACATTTTGAAGCGTTGAACAAAAATGTGTTCAATTTGTTTTTATTTTAATGACTTGGATGCACCTATAGCATCAGAATTAGTAAATCTATTTATGTTTTTTTGTGTATATAGATTGTAAATCCTTATATGGACATGGTAGTTTTTATATAGATTGTAAATCCTTATATGGACATGGTAGTTTTTATATAGATTTGTAAATCCTTATATGGACATGGTAGTTTTTATATAGATTTGTAAATCCTTATATGGGCATGGTAGTCCTTATATAGACATGTTAATACTTATATGGGCATGGTAGTCCTTATATAGATGTGTGAATACTTATATGTGCATGTAAATATATAATTGCATCTATGTTTATCCTAGTAAGTTAATAAGTCTGGCAGAGAGTATTTTAAGCTGGTAACTGTAATATTAGAACTGTTGCCAGTAGTTCTTGGTTTTCCTCTAATCAGGCGTAATAACATACCGTAGATGCCACATCGTTCACTGAAATTAAAAGTAAATTAATGTATTTTGATGTTAATTATACGTTAAAATTGTAATATTTTGATATACAGAACATTTTGCAGATATGTGATTGTATTTGTTGATATTCGTATTGCAGTTGGTTTTGGGGGGGGGGGGGCTGCAGATGTACAGACCATCGAGGTTAAATAGTTTCCACTGTTGCTGTGTTGATACATGCAACTATTTAGGTCGCATACGTTGCTGTTTAATTTATTATTTGTCAGATAAAAATTGTATACAATGTATCGCAGTGATATTTGATAAGGCTATAAAACAGAGCACATCTAACTTTGAATCTTGGGACATCAGGTATAATGTAGTATGTTATTGGTCGACAGCAGTCAGCTGGCTTGCATACCATGCTTAGACAGCCCAAGCGACCTTAGCAGTTACATAGGCCTCTCCTCTCTCTATGTGGATGCATTTTTTTTTTAACCTGATTGTGGACTGTCTCTTATCTACTGTTAGGAATGCGGAGAGCCAGTGAACCTGCCAATCTTTATCAATTTGGCTACGAACATAATAACGGTAATCATATCTCCATTCCATATGCATTTAAACAACTTGTAACCCATCATCAACTGCACGTACTAAGCCACTGAGATAAAAAGATGTGGAAGTGTATATGTATCTGATCTCTAATTCACCCTTCTGTCTTGTCTAACTCTTAATGTAGAATACTAAATAGAAATCATTTTATGTAATTCTACCTCCTTACCTCTTGCCTGAATGTTGTATGTTTACAATAACAGATAATTTCATTGCAGGTGTTGTCTTGTCAATACCTAAATAAAATCTCTTTATGTTTATTAGTGTTGCTCTGATTTATAATATTAGTTTGACTTTATAATACTTTTGTATGAAGTTGATTTGTTTCAACAGCTGTGTAATGTTTCATACCAGATTCTGTCACTTTCATTGTCATTCCATCAGCTAGCTTGATCAGCAGGCTGGGGCAGCAGTCAGTAACTGTTGCATCATGTATTTAGATCATGTTAGATGAAAATTAACGAGTGTTTACAGAAGTTAAGAGAAAGAGATAAAATGTGTTTGGGATGCTCTGTTCATGTATGCTAGGAAGATTTTTTTAAAAGATGTATATTTCTCTAGGATGTATGGTTTTTAATGAGTTGTTGACATTGGCATTCCAATCCAGATATCATATCTTCCTTAATTTGATCCTAATACATACAGGCTTATGTGTAGTGTACATAATTACATTGCGATTTGTTTAGTACCACCCATATGGTGTTGGTATTCCCTCTGTGGTTTCATCTATCCCTCATGGTATTGGGTGTAGAAATGTAATCATAGTCTTTGACATTGAACAACCATGGATTCATGGCTTATAAATGACCTTGGGCTGGTAGAGAGTAATGAGTTATGATCAACCCGTGTCTCATAATTGTATATTCTTATATTACTTACAATTTCTGCAATGGATTAAATCTTTTTAATTGCATCATTATCACTAATTATACAATGTGTTCGCATTGCCTTAAACTATGTGAAATGGATGCATTCTAATGACTGTTTTATTGCAGAGATAATTTATTCACCCAGCTGGTGATTTATTGATTTACTATCTTCTGAGACCTCTCAGAGTACTCCATAGTGATGCATCTAGTTGGAGAGCTCTGCAGAATCACTCTCTGATAGTGTGAATGCATGGTGTACTTTATTTTTGTATATGAATATATAGAATATGATTTCAACATTAGTTTACTGGTTTTCCAGTGTTTATGGAATTCTCAATAAAAGTTGATGATTGATGAGTAGACACCTGTTTTAAACAGCCATATCTTAAAATGGCTGTCAATCACAAGTTTATTCAATCAAAGTTGTAACACAAACTGTTACCGGTAGTGACAATACTTCCTTTTAAGCCATTTTATGTATGTCCTAGTTAACAGGATTAACAAGTGTGGTAACAAGGTGATTGGCATACCGTCTGTTGACTGCATTTTCAGTCAACCAATCTAATTTATGTTCAATAGTTAATGGTAAAGTACTAATGATATCACTGGTCTGAAATGCAGATTAAAATCAAAATTCTTATAATGTGACTTGGATCTCTCATATGCAAATTCATCGGTGGACTTCATATTTGTAGTGTGATATGTACATCTATTATATATTGTATACATGTATTATTGTATCTGGCTGTCTCCAGAGCAGCAATTGATATTACTGTATTAGGCGTCACATTCCATACAGAAGTCGCACCCATTCTTTTTGAACAATTCTGAACCAAAAATTCACCATTTCTCTTGTGTGCAGATGCTCTAATAGAAGCCGCATCCTCTCTTCTGCATTCTACCATTTTAATAGAAGCCGCAGCTTCTAATAGGGATTCTACATTACCGATATATGTTAGTTTTGTTTTTGCTAGCATCTCTTCATTGTATTCTGAGCCTTCTGCACCCTTTTTTTTTCCATAACTGTGTAAGAGTTGACAAGTAAAGTCCTGGTGTTCATTCCTACAGGTGATAGTCATACTCTGAATTGCCAACTCTTACATATCTACTTCAGCACTTCGTTTCATGTGGTGTAATGGGAATAAATAAGTTTTCACACATTTATCGCAGTCTTGGTTTGTTGTACCAAATGTTCTCATTGCTCTAATTCATTTTCTGATAGACACACGCCGAGCAACCGGAGCCCATCGTGCACCTGGTAACTCACTATTCAGGGATTCGTTCTCTTCTGGATTTCCTGGTTTTGGCTTTTCTTCGTTTGGCTCATTTCATGATGACCCATTTGGATCCTCCGAGTGAGTACATATTTACTTGATATTTGTTTTGCAACCATTGAATCTATGTCATCACATGTACATATTTTTACTATTAGAATTGTATGTATCAATCACGACTCTGAATACAGCCAATAGTCTACCTTCACAGGTACACCTTTGATATCACACATCTGAGTATATACAATTTTGATAGATGAAATTTAGTACCATGTGATGATGTACATGTATGCTGATGGAGAATGATTTTTAGACTTGTGTATTCTTCATAGTGGTACATGAATTGTCAATAGTATTAAATGTTCAAAATAAAATCAAAGACATTTAGTATTTGTTTTATATACCATACTATACTATATGTACCCTCCTGCTAGCATCTTCAGTCCAAATCTGCAGATCATTGGTAAATAATAAACTAGCTTTCCCTCTATCCATCTCAAATAGTGTCTAGAGTCCTGATTTTTTTTTTTTATGTGCGGGCCTATCTTAGTCATTTTGTGGAGATCAAAGGTATCAGCTGTGCTTCCTCCACTATCATGTATCAGTTTTCAGGCTCATCACCATCAGCAGCATAGTCAATTCTCATCTTTGTATATATGCTGCTTTTCTTTATCTGTAGCATTGCGCCTTTCTCTCCATTTCTTGGTGGATTCCCAAACCCGGGGTAAGATACCATCATATAAACTCGTATTATACATGCATTCTAATATTCCAATGGTTGATCAACATAATAATGACTAACTATGACCCCTACATTTTTTGCAGTTTGGTTTGACCCTGTTGTTAATGATGATTGGGTTTCTCCACATTACATGAAATTAGGGTTGGGGTGTGGTGTGGTAGGGTGGATATACAGTAATGCATGATTTGGTCTCCACCAAGTATAAAAATTCACATATTATAACAGTACATGTATGTACCATATTATACAGTAAGACCTGTCTGAACAGTTAACCAGCCAAAGCCAAATTACTACTAAAATGCGTCCAAATGCAATTAATTTGCTTTTGTTAAGCTTTGGCATGTTTTACTGTTATGTACTGTGAAACAATTTATTTTCCCTGGAATTAATTTTCGCTGAAAAGACTTTTTAGGTATTTTGTATGGAAATTATTTTCAATGATTTTTGGTGAGTTTAATGTAAAATATAGGAAAAAAGGTATATTCACTGGATTTTATTTTCACTGAATAAGCGAAAATTAATTCCAAGTCTTTTACAGTATTCAGTATTTTAGTGTGTAGTATAGCATGTGCTACATTTTTATGCTTTAGTCATTGGTCTGCACTTCTTTTTAACCTTTTGACAATCTCCTTGCCAAAATTATTCTGAAAATATTTGCTTGTTTTGTGTAATTATCTCTTAATTCAATATTATTTGAATGAAAAAGTAAAAGGATTTTACTTGTATACGATAATCTAATGTGCCTATATCTTTTACAAGCTTTTTTGTACAAAAACATTTTGTAAAAAGTGACAGCAGTTGACAATGGTCATGGAGGGGGTTGATGTTATGCAAATTACTTAATTAATATGCATAGATATAACATAGCACTGAGTATTCATGTACTTGGTGAAAGTAGTGGGGAAAGGATTGATGGTGTTGCATACATAAACTTGTTATCTGTAAAGTTTCTTTTTATTACATATGTATGCCATGTTCTGTTATTACAATGCATGTTTTACGACCTCAATAAAGTAGAAATACTTTGTTATAATATTAATTTGCGAGTTTATGGCATATGTAATGTTATGTTCGATTTTGGGAAATATTTTTTCTTTGTTTGAAGTTAGTTCACAATGCTCACTGACTTGTATGTAATCATGTTGTGCCATTATACGCGAATGACTGCTGAACTTTTTTTGAGAGCAGTGCATCTGCTATTTCACTGTTGTATGTAACCAAGGTAATTTGGAGTGACTCCTTTAATGATAACAAGAACTAGTAAACTGAATTGGTAAAAGAA